GCCCCCAAGCCAGCCGGAGCCATTCCGGCCCCCCAGGCAGCGGGCGCGCGACACATGCACGGCCCCGCCCCCCGGCACACTGCACACCTTACAGCTGCCATCAGGCGCCCCCAATAGGTTGGCACCCTGGGCAGCTGCCCGGCTAGCCCCCCCACCCTTTAATCCAGCCCAAAACACCCACCTTCTGCACACACACTCACCATCATCACGTTTCAGCCCAGAGCAAAACCCTGGTGGCTCAGGCCCTGACCCCTGGCAGGACAAAGGGGAGCTGTGCTCAAAGCCCCTGCTTGGCACACAGTGTCGGGGTGGGGAGCCCGGCCCCCAGAGAGCAGGTCCCTGGGCTGTGCTTATGCTGACCCCTGCTGGCCTGGGCTGGAAGGACCACAAGCCATGCACTGACAATGGCTATTCAGGCTCCTACAGGCTCTTCCCAGCACCAGAGGGGGTTAACCAGCAGGTAAGGGAGTGGGGCACGGGATGGCCCAGCTATTTCCCTGCTCCGCTAGCCTAGTGACTCCACAGCTCTCTCCCCAGCCACAGCGCCACCCAGTGGCTGTGCCGAGATCTCCCTGGGGATGGCTAGTGGCCAGAGCATGGGAGGAGCTCTTCCAGGAAGGGGGGCTCCCTGCACTGTCCCCCACTCCTAGCTCAGCTGCTGTCTCTCCCCGCTCAGAGCGAGGAGACGGAGGGGCGCAGCTACTCCACCCTGTCGACGGTGCGGGAGATTGAGACCCAGACGGAGCAGCCCCCGGCCCCGGCGCCCGCCCCCGAGGAGAAGGCGAAGGGGGAAGATGAGGCAGAGGAGGAGGAGGAGGAGCGGGAGGAGGAAAACACCATCAAGGCGGCCATGACCCATTTTATGCAGGAGAACGGCACGCTGCGGGCCAAGCCCACCACCAACGGCATCTACATCAATGGGCGGGGACACCTGGTGTGAGCCCGGCCACGGGCACAGACTGGCCTGGTGCCACCCAGTGCCGGCCCCTGGACACATGGAAGCCCTGTGCAGCCTGCCAGCTCCTCCAGCTGGGACTGACCTGCTGAGCCCTTGTACTTACAGCCGGCCTCGGCTCTGGATTTCTGGGAGGGCGGATCCAGTTTACTGTGTTGCCAAAGGGTCTCTGGCCAACTGGGGGTGTCTTACCCGCCCCTTGCTTCCTGCGGCAGCTGCCTCGCTTCTCTGCATGGGATGCTTCGTGCCAGGCTGGCCCCAGGGCCCCATGCTGCTCTGAAGTCAACTCCTCTCTCCAACTCCTGCTGCTGTGGGCGCTGGAGGGTGCAGGATCTGCCTGTCCTTCCCATTTCCCGAGCCAGGCCTAGCTGGGAAACAGCGCAGACCGTGTGGGGGGGCTGACTGGGGGTAACAACTGTGGGGGGGCAGAGATGGGGAGGGCACTTCACCCTGCCTCCTGTAGGGGGCGACGTCAGCGCCATTGCCTCTAGCCCAGGTGGTGCTCGGTGTGGGAGTGGGACTGTGGAGTCTGTCAGTGCAGCCAGCAGGGATAACAAGCAGCAGCCTGTGAGCTCCCTGGGGCCGGTCTGATGCCAGTCCTGGGATGTCACCGTGCCCTGCGGCGCCCACCTGTGGCCGCGGGCACACTGGCATGACGGGCAAGTGAGCGTGGAAACACCCCAACGGGGGCACTTCGGGGGTCGGAATTGGCACCACCTGCCGGTTAGAGGAGTGCGAGCTCCTGCCTCCACCCCACACACTCAGCCTGGTCCATGGGGCTCGGCCTCTGGGCAAGACGAGGCGTGGCACCCCTGCAGCCGGGCTGTGATGAACATGACTGTGGAGGAGGGTCTGGACCAGCGCCGCTGGGCACAGACAGCTCCTGTGCTTTTCTCGGCTCTCCAGTTCCCAGCCTGCTGCGGTCGCTGGAGACTGGTGCCCCCTGGCCTCACGGGCCCCCCAGCACTCCAGGGCCCAGCCCTGGGAGCTAATCCGGGCCCCGCCAGGGTTGAGGAGCACAGCCTGGGTGGTTTAATGGAGGTCAAACTCCTCTGGACATGGAGCTGACTCGGAACCTGGGCAGGGGGCTTCCCCCTGCCCCACCTGACTGTAATGCACAAGTATTTAAAAGGCCTGGTTTGTTACTAAAAGGGGCAGCCATGTCCTGAGCCCCAGGCCCCACTGCTGAGCTGGGGCTTGGCGTGCCCGGGCAGTCACGAGCCAGGATGGGGCGGGGCACCTGCAGCGCTAACAGCACGCGCACGAACTAAAGGCCCAAGTCCCCTGGGCAGCCGCACAAGCCGCGTCAGATGCGGCACGGCCCCGCAGCTGGGTGCGAGCGCCACTTGCTGGGTTACACAGCTGGGCTGGCTTTGTTGGTTTCTCTCCTTGGAGCCCGGCCGGTCTGAATCTCGGCCCAGCATATTCTCCCAACCCCGGGTCACAAGGCCCGGTGGCAAGATCATCATGGCCCCTGGACACACTCTCCTCTGTGCCCTTCACCCCAGAGCCACTGGGGTCGGATCCTGAGGGCTGCTCCTGCCAGAAATGGCCTCGTTCCCGCTGCGGTAGGGGTCGGTTTTCAAGCCCAACACACCAGGGTGACGTTTCTGCAGGCAGGGGGTGGGGGGTAGAGTTGGCCGTTTATATAATTCCTTAACAGAACAGCGGCTCGGACCGGCTGCCGGGCCAGTCCCCTCCATGGAGTCAGTGGCAAACCTCTCCTGGACGTAGGGCCCCCTGCCCCGTCTGGTCATTGGCAAAGGGGCTGGCAATCCCCACGGGACGCTGGCACTGGTGTGCTTGGGAGGCCGGCTCACGGCACCAAGCCCGGTGGGGCCGACCGGAGCCTGTCCACTGACACCCTCCCTCGGGGCTTTGCCCCATGGCCAATATTTTGGGGAGGGCCCCTCCAGAGCTGACCCCCCCTTCTCCCCCAGACGGCGGGAGAGCACATCTGGCCCGGAGGCGGAGCTGGGCTCAGTGTCCGAACCCCCCAGCGGCGTGAAGTCCACGGAGGGGCGGTTTGGATCCAGATCCCTGGGGTGAACCTGGATTCAGACTAACACAGTTTGGTCCGGCCCGGAGAGCAGTGCTGCTACCCCCTGGTGGTGATATTTATAATGTATTATGTATGGTTTATTTCTATGTTTTGCTGCCTCTCCATGGGCTGTTCTCAGGGCAAAGACGTAGGGTGGGAGGGTCTAAGACAAGGCATCAGCCTAACCTGGCTCTGAAGTAAACCCCCCTTTGGCTCCAGCAGGAGTGCAGTTAGGCCAAGCCTAAGGAGCCCAGCCATGGCCTCCAAGAAAGCCCTGCTGGCTAATCACAGTCACAGCATTAGAAGGGCTTGGGATGCGGCCAATGCTCTCGATCTGTCAGTGGGCAGAGGGGCTTGGGCCGTGCCCTGGGGTAGCTAAGAGAGATGGGAAACTGGCGGAGCAGGGTCTTTTCCACACTGTAGAAAGGGAGGGTTTGCTGCCTTGGCTCAGACGCCTGATCCATCTCATCTGGTCTCCTCGCCCCTGTGAGATTGGCTCGGAGCAGAGGGTCTTCTGGGTCCCAAGCCAAGTCACTTCCTCCAATGGCCAAGACCTGATCCATCAGCTAAAGACCAGATGTGCGTAGATGGCTGGCCAGATGTCCAGACTCCTGCAGCTGCCTCTGGTGCAGAGCGTGAGATTGGTTCTTACCCTCAGATTGCCTTGGGGAAGAAATTTAAATTAGGATTTTATAAAAAATCCCAAAGGCGCAGTCTGAAATTTGGATTCCGGTCTCCAAAGCCACTAGCAGCAGAGATGCCCAGACAAACAGACTGGCTGAGAGAGGTGGCAGCTGAGCATGGTTGTGTCGAGGGGAAGGAACTGCCCATCTCCTGAGGGCTATGCCTGGGGATGGTTTGATTGTGTTGCGTTTTTGATTCAGAGGGGCTTGGGGGTAGTCTCTGGAGTTAGCGGAGGGAATTCCCTGTCCTATGTATCTTCTGTAAATGTCTGTGTATATAGCGCTTACTATGTGTATATAGATGTAAAGAAGACACTGCACACTGGTTTTGTTTTTTGTGATATGCACTGTTGGTTTTGTAAATAAATTCCCCATTTGGCACCCTGGGACTTCGGGTTAGTCCCTTTGCTTGTGCCCTCCAGGGTTCCTGGCCTGGAGGCAAAAGCAGCCAAACAGGCAGGAGGGAGCCCGGAAAACCTGAGAGCAAACAGCCCAGAGCCAGAGAGGAAAAAGGGAATGAATGTGAACACTTGGCTTCGGTCCACATGAGCAGTGACTAGCTTTGGTGCCCATGGCAGGGCTGTGTGTGACTGAGCAGAGGGAGTGAGAGAGACCTGTGATTTTTGTGTGCACACGTGTGTGCATGTGATTGAATGGTTATGTGCATGTGAGTATATGCTTGCACTTCTGATTGTCTGTTTACATGGGTGAGATTGTATTTACATGCATGAATGTGTGGAGGCGCATGTGAGTGTGTGTTTGCACATGTGATTGTGTGTGCCCATGCAAATGTGCTTGTGGGTGCCCACTGCTGTAAGTGTATGTTTACCTGTGTGTTTTTTGTTAATGCAATTGCCCCTGGCGGGGGTGGATGTTCGTCTTCACTGCAAAGTCACTGCAGCTTGGCCTTTCTGCACATGTACACACTGACCCTGCTCTTGGGTGCCATGGTGTTGGGCACTCCAGCTGGCTACACCGCAGGGCTACACAGCAAAGCCCACATGAGCCTAACAAGTCAGCTAACGCTCTGCCATGTGGCTGCACTGGAAAGTGCAGGTGTGTCAAAGTCTATATGTATATAGGGTGTGTAGCTGTGTATATCAGCGTGTGTCAAAGTCTCTGTGTGTGGGTATGTAGCTGTGTGTATCAGTGTGTGTCCAAGTTTCTGTTTGTGTGTATGTGTATAGGGTGTGTAGCTGAGTGTATCAGTGTGTGTCAGTCTGCGTGCGTGTGTGTGTGTGGTTGTGTGTGTGTGTGTGTGTGGAGGGTGCGGAGCTGTGTGTGTCACTGTGTATCAATGGGTATGTCTACACTACCACCCTAGTTCGAACTAGGGTGGTAGTGAAGACATACCCTCAGGCTACGTCTACACTGGCCCCTTTTCTGAAAGGGGCATGTTAATTTCACAGGTCGTAATAGGGAAATCCGCGAGGGATTTAAATATCCCCCGCGGCATTTCCCTATTACGACCTGTGAAATTAACATGCCCCTTTCGGAAAAGGGGCCAGTGTAGACGTAGCCTGAGGGTATGTCTTCACTACCACCCTAGTTCGAACTAGGGTGGTAGTGAAGACATACCCTCAGGCTACGTCTACACTGGCCCCTTTTCTGAAAGGGGCATGTTAATTTCACAGGTCGTAATAGGGAAATCCGCGAGGGATTTAAATATCCCCCGCGGCATTTCCCTATTACGACCTGTGAAATTAACATGCCCCTTTCGGAAAAGGGGCCAGTGTAGACGTAGCCTGAGGGTATGTCTTCACTACCACCCTAGTTCGAACTAGGGTGGTAGTGAAGACATACCCTCAGGCTACGTCTACACTGGCCCCTTTTCTGAAAGGGGCATGTTAATTTCACAGGTCGTAATAGGGAAATCCGCGAGGGATTTAAATATCCCCCGCGGCATTTCCCTATTACGACCTGTGAAATTAACATGCCCCTTTCGGAAAAGGGGCCAGTGTAGACGTAGCCTGAGGGTATGTCTTCACTACCACCCTAGTTCGAACTAGGGTGGTAGTGAAGACATACCCTCAGGCTACGTCTACACTGGCCCCTTTTCTGAAAGGGGCATGTTAATTTCACAGGTCGTAATAGGGAAATCCGCGAGGGATTTAAATATCCCCCGCGGCATTTCCCTATTACGACCTGTGAAATTAACATGCCCCTTTCGGAAAAGGGGCCAGTGTAGACGTAGCCTGAGGGTATGTCTTCACTACCACCCTAGTTCGAACTAGGGTGGTAGTGAAGACATACCCTCAGGCTACGTCTACACTGGCCCCTTTTCTGAAAGGGGCATGTTAATTTCACAGGTCGTAATAGGGAAATCCGCGAGGGATTTAAATATCCCCCGCGGCATTTCCCTATTACGACCTGTGAAATTAACATGCCCCTTTCGGAAAAGGGGCCAGTGTAGACGTAGCCTGAGGGTATGTCTTCACTACCACCCTAGTTCGAACTAGGGTGGTAGTGAAGACATACCCTCAGGCTACGTCTACACTGGCCCCTTTTCTGAAAGGGGCATGTTAATTTCACAGGTCGTAATAGGGAAATCCGCGAGGGATTTAAATATCCCCCGCGGCATTTCCCTATTACGACCTGTGAAATTAACATGCCCCTTTCGGAAAAGGGGCCAGTGTAGACGTAGCCTGAGGGTATGTCTTCACTACCACCCTAGTTCGAACTAGGGTGGTAGTGAAGACATACCCTCAGGCTACGTCTACACTGGCCCCTTTTCTGAAAGGGGCATGTTAATTTCACAGGTCGTAATAGGGAAATCCGCGAGGGATTTAAATATCCCCCGCGGCATTTCCCTATTACGACCTGTGAAATTAACATGCCCCTTTCGGAAAAGGGGCCAGTGTAGACGTAGCCTGAGGGTATGTCTTCACTACCACCCTAGTTCGAACTAGGGTGGTAGTGAAGACATACCCTCAGGCTACGTCTACACTGGCCCCTTTTCTGAAAGGGGCATGTTAATTTCACAGGTCGTAATAGGGAAATCCGCGAGGGATTTAAATATCCCCCGCGGCATTTCCCTATTACGACCTGTGAAATTAACATGCCCCTTTCGGAAAAGGGGCCAGTGTAGACGTAGCCTGAGGGTATGTCTTCACTACCACCCTAGTTCGAACTAGGGTGGTAGTGAAGACATACCCTCAGGCTACGTCTACACTGGCCCCTTTTCTGAAAGGGGCATGTTAATTTCACAGGTCGTAATAGGGAAATCCGCGAGGGATTTAAATATCCCCCGCGGCATTTCCCTATTACGACCTGTGAAATTAACATGCCCCTTTCGGAAAAGGGGCCAGTGTAGACGTAGCCTGAGGGTATGTCTTCACTACCACCCTAGTTCGAACTAGGGTGGTAGTGAAGACATACCCTCAGGCTACGTCTACACTGGCCCCTTTTCTGAAAGGGGCATGTTAATTTCACAGGTCGTAATAGGGAAATCCGCGAGGGATTTAAATATCCCCCGCGGCATTTCCCTATTACGACCTGTGAAATTAACATGCCCCTTTCGGAAAAGGGGCCAGTGTAGACGTAGCCTGAGGGTATGTCTTCACTACCACCCTAGTTCGAACTAGGGTGGTAGTGAAGACATACCCTCAGGCTACGTCTACACTGGCCCCTTTTCTGAAAGGGGCATGTTAATTTCACAGGTCGTAATAGGGAAATCCGCGAGGGATTTAAATATCCCCCGCGGCATTTCCCTATTACGACCTGTGAAATTAACATGCCCCTTTCGGAAAAGGGGCCAGTGTAGACGTAGCCTGAGGGTATGTCTTCACTACCACCCTAGTTCGAACTAGGGTGGTAGTGAAGACATACCCTCAGGCTACGTCTACACTGGCCCCTTTTCTGAAAGGGGCATGTTAATTTCACAGGTCGTAATAGGGAAATCCGCGAGGGATTTAAATATCCCCCGCGGCATTTCCCTATTACGACCTGTGAAATTAACATGCCCCTTTCGGAAAAGGGGCCAGTGTAGACGTAGCCTGAGGGTATGTCTTCACTACCACCCTAGTTCGAACTAGGGTGGTAGTGAAGACATACCCTCAGGCTACGTCTACACTGGCCCCTTTTCTGAAAGGGGCATGTTAATTTCACAGGTCGTAATAGGGAAATCCGCGAGGGATTTAAATATCCCCCGCGGCATTTCCCTATTACGACCTGTGAAATTAACATGCCCCTTTCGGAAAAGGGGCCAGTGTAGACGTAGCCTGAGGGTATGTCTTCACTACCACCCTAGTTCGAACTAGGGTGGTAGTGTAGACATACCCACTGTGTGTCAGAGTCCATGGAACAGTTTCCTTCCAAGCTCAAGTGGATGCTGTTTCACAAGCTGAGCCCTGCCCTGCATCATGCAGCATCTTCCCCAGTGAGCAGTATCCATGGTTAGGGGCCAAAGGGGAGGCTGATGCTGGAGCCTCAACAGGGGCAAACCTCCCTTGGCATCAGGAAGGGCAGAGCAGCCTTGGTGCTCAGGGAGGCAGAGTCTAGGGCAGGTGGGTGGGCTTGTGTAGAAAACCTGCTGTTCCCAGCAGGGACTGCATTAAACTCACATGACAGCTAAGTTAGTTCAACTGCTCGAGATAGTTAAGACCAAATCAGACTGTGAAGCCCTTCAAAAAGATCTCACCAAACTGTGTGATTGGGAAACAAAATGGCAAATAAAATTTAATGTTGATAAATGTAAAGCAATGCACATTGGAAAACATAATCCCAACTATACATACAATATATGTACAGTTTAACTCCAACTACTCGAGAGAGAGATCTTGGAGTCACCGTGGATAGTTCTCTGAAAACATCCACTCAGTGTGCAGCAGCAGTCAAAAAAGCAAACAGAATGCTAGGAATAATTAAAAAAGGGATAGGGTATGTCTACACATCAAAGTTAATTCAAAATAACAGCCTTTATTTCGAATTAACTTTACTAACGTTTACACAGCCAAACCGCTATTTTGAAATAAATTCAAAATAGTGGAGCACTTATTTTGAATTTGGTAAACCTCATTCCACGAGGAATAATGCCAAATTTGAAATAGCGAATTCAAAATAAGTGCTGTGTAGACACTTATTTTGAAATGGGGGCCTCCAGCCTTCCCAGGGTGCCCTGGTGGCCACTCCAGCCTCAACCAAGAACACTTCTCTCCCTCCCATCTCCACGGAGCCCTTAAAGGGGTTGACTCTGGCTACAGTGCCTGTGCCAGCTCCAAGCCTGCCAGCCCAGAGCAGCAGTCACTGCCCCTGACCCAGTGGCCCCAAAACATGAGCCAGCAAGCCACTGGCAGGGCCTGGAGAAGGCAGGCGCCTTCCTGGTCCAGGCTGGAGATCAGGGTGGACCTAACTTAGGTTTAGGGGGGATGCCCCTAATGTCTATTATCTCCGCACTAGACGGAGGAATGTGGCCGTCTATGGCAGGATAGCTGCCAGCCTGGCCACCAAAGGCCACGTGAACCCAGGAGCAGGTTCGCATGACAATCAAGTTGGTTCGGCAAGACCCCCCAACCCTGAGCCCTGAGCTTTCCCTCCCACTTCTTCCCCTTGCTTCCCCCTTCAGGCTCCCTCCTCCCAGGTTTCCCCCTCCCTTCTATGACCCTCTTTCCTCCTCTCGCCCACCTCCTTTCTCCAGTATCACTAGTTACATCCCCTTTCCCAGTTTTATTAAATAAAGAGAGTTTGTGTTCATGAAAATACATGTATTTTATTTTACAACAGGAAGGGGGGCTGGGAGAGTAAATAGAACAATGTGCGGGAGGAATGAAGCACAAGCTCCCAGTGGGGCAGACCAGGGAGGCTCTTAGTGCTCCTCAGGGTGGAAGCTCTCCCGCAGGGCCTCCTGGATACTGACAGCCCCGATGGACCTCCTGGATGGCAGCCTGCAGAAAGTGCAGCCAGGCTCGCATCAACGCATTCATGAGAAGCACCAGAGTGCCCAGGGGAAGCTCTGGCTCCATGTTGCAGAGCGCTGTGGTGTCCCGAGTGAGGGCAACCAGAACACGCAGAGACACAAATGCTTTGCTGTCCCTCATCGAGGTAGGCAAGCAAGCAGCGAAAGCTGAGAACCTTGTCCCTTTAAGCACAAGCCTCAGATAGCCTCAGGTCGCAGCCACACAAATAAACTCCTGACCTGATGCCCTGCTGGACCTGGTTCCGGCTGGCCTTCAATGCAATTCAGTGTCCACTCAGTGTGGACGTGCTATTTCAAAATAGCAAAACGCTATTTCGAAATGCATTTTGTGTGTAGATGTGTTATGTCTAAATAAGCTATTTCGAATTAACTATTTCGAAATAAGACATTTTGAAATAACACTGTAGTGTAGACATACCCATAGGCTACGTCTACACTGGCATGAATTTCCGGAAATGCTTAAAACGGAACAGTTTTCCGTTATAAGTATTTCCGGAAAAAGCGCGTCTACATTGGCAGGATGCTTTTCCGGAAAAGCACTTTTTCCGGAAAAGCGTCTGTGGCCAATGTAGACGCGCTTTTCTGGAAAAAAGCCCCGATCGTCATTTTCGCGATCGGGGCTTTTTTGCGGAAAAGACTACTGTGTTGTCTACACTGGCCCTTTTCCGGAACAGTTTTTCCAGAAAAGGACTTTTGCCCGAACGGGAGCAGCATAGTTTTTCCAGAAAAACACTGACAATTTTACAGTAGATCATCATTGATTTTCCGGAAAAGCAAGCGGCCAGTGTAGACAGCTGGCAAGTTATTCTGGAAAAGCAACCGCTTTTCCGGAATAAGTAGCCCAGTGTAGACACAGCCATAGGGAATAAGACAGAAAATATCTTAATGCCTCTATATAAAACCATGGTACACCCACATCCTGAATACTGCATACAGATGTGGTTGCCTCATATCAAAAAAGATATATTAGCATTGGGAAAGATTCAGAAAATGGCAACAAAAATGATGAGGGGTTTGGAACGGGTCCCATCTGAAAAGAGATTAAAAAGACTGGGATTTTTCAGCTTAGAAAAGAGGAGACTAAGGGGGGATATGATAGAGGACTATCACAGCGTTTCCCAAACTATGGGCCGCAGCCCGAAATACCAGGCCTCAGCGTGGCTGTCAGGAGGGAAGCAGGGCAGGGCGGTCTGGGAGGAGGTGTGTGTGTGGAGGAAACCAGTTGCCGGGAAGCAGGATTGGGGGTCGCAGGGCTGTCCAGCGGAGATTGGGGGGGCAGCTGGCCGGCCAGCAGCAGCAAGGTTGGGGGCAGGGGGGCTGGCCGGCAGAGATCGGGGGCGGGAAGCGGTCGGGAGGAGTGTGGCTGGTCGGGGCAGTCATTGGGGGGGAGCGGGGCTGGCTGGGGGAGATCAGTGGGAGGAGTGGGAGAACCAGCTGCCAGAAGCAGGGCTGGACAGGGGAGATCAGGAGGAGAAGCGGGGGGAAGGGGAGCGAATCAGCCAGCGGGAAGTGGGACTGACCTTGAGCACATGTAGACCCAGGCACACGAGTGAGTCCGGCCCTGGGGATTCCATTTTACCCCCCCCATACCCTCTCTTGAGTAGTTGCGAATTGCCCGGCTAGTAGACACACTCACGCAGCGTGAGCACACCTACCAGCCAGGCAGTTCGCAGCTACGGACGGATACACCTAATAATAATAAAACTTACTGTATTAGAAAATACCGGACATTTTGTAGGTCCGGTATTTTCTCAATTTGTTTCCCAGACAGAACCCTCAAATACCAGGCTGTCCAGTACAAAATCGGACACCTGGCAACCCTACTCCTCCTTGCACCCTCCCTTCTAGCCAGATACCCTACCCCCAATCTGATCTTGCTCCCATCTCCTGAAGTGCCCATGCGGCGCCAGGTCCCCCAAGCTCTGGTCCAGGCTGGGCGGAGGATGAAGCTGGGTGAAACAGTGAAAATTTATTCATTTTTCATTCTTTTTTTATATGCATTTATATTTTTGAGCTGCAAAAAACAGTACTGAAAAAAACAGATTCCAACTAAAGTAAAAAGTTTGGGAAACCCTGGTCTAGACAGCTTTCTATGCATCTTACAATCCATTTATTCAATCCATATTCCCTCAACTTGCTGGCAAGAATATTGTGGGTGACTGTATCAACAGCTTTGCTAACGCTGTCACTGGGGGCTTTGGGAGGACCAGAAACAAATTATTTGAATATTTATCATTTGCTTAATGAATATGCAAATATGCAAATTAATGTTACCGGTCCTCCAAAAGCTCGTGAATGGAGTTACTGGTCCCCGTGTCAAAAAGTTTGGGAACCCCTGGTCTACAAAATCATGACTGGTGTGGAAAAAGTGAATAAGGAAAAGTTATTTACTTATTCCCACAATATAAGAGCTAGGGGTCAGCAAATGAAATTAATAGGCAGCGGGTTTTAAACAAACCAAAGGAAGTTTTTCTTCACTCAGCATAGTCAACCTGTGGAACTCCTTGCTAGAGGATGTGGTGAAGACTAGGATCTTAACAGAGTTCAAAAAAGAGCTAGATAGATTCATGCAGGTTAGGTCCATCAATGGTTATTAGCCAAGATGGGTAGGAATGGTGTCCCTAGCCTCTGTTTGTCTGGATGTGGATGACAGGAGAGGAATCATATGATGATTACCTGTTGCATTCCCTCCCTCTGGGGCATCTGGTATTGGCCATTGTCAGCAGACAGGATGCTGGGCTGGATGGACCTTTGGTCTGCCCCAGTGTGGCCGTTCTTATGTTCATAAGTGATGGCCAGTCGCTCTCTGGCGCCCTGTGCAGCTGGTTCTTTAATAGGCATTTCTACCTTTAAACATCCCTCCCATGGGGCAATAACTCTGCCGGGGGCATGTCCTTCCTCCAAGGGCAGTCGCTTCAGGATAGCTGCAGATCGCAAATGGCTCAGCTGCAGAGCCTTGGCTCTGACAATGCCCGGCACGGTGGCCTGGTGACACACATGAAGACTGGTTCCGGCAAGGACCCCCTCCTGGTGGCAGGGTGCCCCCTACTGGAGCAGGCAGGAATTGCATGACCCCCAATTCTCCTGATGTGGGAGTGAACTGGGTCTCTGTTCAGTGACCTGTAGCGGTGCTGCTGTACCCCAAGCTCTTGAAGGGTTGGTAGGATACTGAGGCATGGTATGGAGTGGGGAGAAGGCGAGAAGATTCCATTCGTGTCAAACTGTGGGGGTGTGAGTCTCCGTGTGTGTGTGGATTGGATCGGGAGCCCTTTCCTGGGTGTGTGCATATAACTCTCTGCGTGAATCGGTGTCCACAGGTGTGGGATTTGGGATCCCGTGCCGTGGGGCGTGTAGGAGCCAGCAGCGGAAAGGGGGTGTTTGAATCTGCGTGCCTACGCCCAGGGCTGTGAATCCATGTGTGCCGGGGGCCCCCATCCCTGGCGCGGGTGTGCGAATCAGGAGGGTGGGTCTGTGGTTGTACCCTGTGGTTTCTGAAGATGCTTGAGAGGAAGTCAGCCTGGAGGCAGAACTCACTTCCTGCTAGTGCGGAGCCCCAGTGCAGTCAGCGCACAGGAGTGTAACGGTGCAAAGATTTCACGTCAGGCCTGGGCCTCAGCAGCTTCCTCTCTCGGGTGCTGCTTCCGTTGCTGAGCCGCTCTGCCAGGGGCTCTCCAAAGCCTGGGGCTGGATTTTCTGGGGCTTTGTTCCCAGGCCACAAGACGCCCTTGTCCGAGGAGCCAGCCCAAGCGGAGGTCTCGGCAGCCAGGGGTCGATGCTGGAGAGGTGACGGCCGTGGGCTGAGGATTTCCTCACCGGCCCGCCCAGCCCCCATGTGGTCCCAGCAGTGGGAAGGGCTGGGGCTCGTGTGTTAGAGCCTGGAAGCCCCCAGACTGGTCCGATTGTCCCCATGTCTCTCGCCATGAAAGCCCGGCAGAAGGCGAAACGGAAAGGGGCAGCCAAGGACCGGGTCTTTGGGTGTGACCTGCTGGAGCATCTGCAGCAGTCTGGCCAGGAAGGTAAGGGCGGTGTGCTCCTCCGGGCGCTGACCTCTGACTCCCCAAGAGGCTGCGGCAGGGAATGGGCCAGGAGACCCCTCTTGCCCCCCGGTCAGTGCTCAGGGGGGGACCCTCCCAGAGCCCAGGCCTGGCCCTGGTGTCTCCATCACAGAGGCCCTGTTGCCGCTAGCGATGGGCTGGCCTGGTGCAGCAGCGGGTGTCTGAGACCATCTGCTCAGCTCGGCTCTGAGCCCTTCTGGGCGCGTTCCTCAGCTTAAATAAATAATGGAGATTGACTCTCTCCTAGAGCTAGAAGGGACCTTGAAAGGTCATCAAGTCCAGTCCCCTGCCTTCACAGCAGGACCAAGTACCATCCCTGACAAATTTTTGCCCCAAATGGCCTCCGCAAGGATTGAACTCATAACCCTGGATTTAGCACACCAATGCTCAAGCCACTGAGCTATCCTGCCCCAGCACAGCCAGGAAGATGGACGAGGCTCCAGGACAGGAGCCTTCAGGGGGACAGCACTTTAAGCCTCTTGGTCTCACTTGTCACTTGAATCGAAGCTGCTCAGGACCCTGACGTGCAGGGTATGGGGCTGGCTCTGAGAGGTCACAGGGCCCCGTCGTGCCGGGTATGGGACTGGCCCTGAGTGCTGGGCCTGGCGCTGGCTCCGAGCAGTCACAGGGCCCCGTTGTGCCGGGTACAGGCTCTGTGCATTCATTGGGCCCCCATGGGGTTGGTCCTGAGCCCTCACAGGGCTCCATTGTGCTGGTTACGGGGCTGGCTCTGAGTGCTGGGAGTGGAGCTGGCCCTAAACAGTCACAGGGCCCCATCATGCCTGTTATGGGGCTGGCCCCGAGTGCTGGGTGTGGGGCTGGCTCTGAGCAGTCACAGGGCCCCATCATGCCGGGTATGGGCTGGCCTTGAGACATCATTGCAGGCTTGTTTGGCATATAGAATTGCAGCACTTCCACAATCCAGCTGGGAATCTGGGCCCCCGAATCTGGCTCCTGCCCTCAGGGAGCAGACAGCTCCCATGAGCCATGGCTCCAAGCAAAGCAGCTCAGCTCAGGGTGGACACGATGCCACCCCTGCTGCCCCCCTGGGGCTGCCAGAGCTTGGCGGGATGCGGAGACTGGTGGCAGGCTCTGTGGGTAGCCCTGGGGGTTCCTGTGCCCAGAGAGCCTCTTCCTCGGCCCAGAGTCCAAATAAAACAGAACCACTGGTGCTGTGGCTTTCAGATCAGGTGATGTGGCTAGTGCCAGAGCTGCAGGCTGGGCTCCCAAATCCCCTTCCCTTGTTAGAGCTGGCAGGGCGAGGGGCACAGTCTGGGGGGGAACTGGTGCCCCATGGGGACAGAGCCCTCCCTGCAATGTCCCTGCCCCACCCCTCGGCTCTCAGTTCGGTTCTGGCAGAGGTGGCATCCGGGCGGCCCTGGGGAGGAGGCCTCACGTGAGATACAGGAAGCTGGCTCAGTGCAGCGGGTGCCAGACCCTGGCAGTGGGGCAGGTTCAGTGTGCAGCAAGAAGGGTGGAGGCGTGATTCACGCTGATTGTTTTGCTGTCGCTGGGCTATTGCTGACAAGGGCGTTTGCATCACTGCAGATTGAGCAACGTGTGCCGCCAAAGGAAATGCAAGCTTGCCCTAGTGGAAGTGCTTAGTAAATAAGCTTGGGACCAGGGGCTTACACAGGGGGTGTGCCACAGGCTGCTGTTTGGAGCCACCCAGTGCTGAGGTGCAGCTGAGGGACATAGGTATCTCACCATGCATTGCTTTGGCCCGGCTGTGTGGAGCTGGCTACAGCATTGCATGCTGGGATGTCTTGTCACCAGCAGCCATACTTGTGCTAGAACCGTGAAAACGTGCAGGTATGTCCCAGTGCCATGTGCCAGAGGAATTCAGGCCCATTTAAAAGGGGTGATTAGGATTATGTCCATTTTACAGATGGGGAAACTAGGGTATCTAGGGCTGACAGTGGCAAGACCAAGAGCCGGCAGGCCCCTAGGTTAGGGATCTGATTTGTAAGCTGAGAGCTGTGGGTGTTCTTTCAGTGACCGTCATTTCAACGGGACTTCAGACAGGCCCTTCCAGTGCTACCAGATGGGCGAATTTCCCATCCTGCAAATTCTCTGATGAGTTTGAATGTTCCCCCATCTCAAACTGGGATGAAAAGTCGAAATCTTGGAAATCCTCATGAGTAGAAAAAGCAAATTTGCAAATTTGGAACGAGGCGTACAGATAGATCGGAATGGCTACATAGTTCGAACTATCTAGCCCATGCCGCGTGTAGCCACGCGGCACGGGGTTCGAACAAGCCGGCTTTTAAAAATGGCGGAGCCGGCTTTATGCTAATGAAGCCCGGGAAATTCAAATCCCGGGCTTCATTAGCAAGTTCGGTATGCATACATTACCCCCCTAGTTCGAACTAGGGGGGTAGTGTAGACATACCCTTAGTCACTTTCCTGGAAGGCTGCCTGAGCTGATGCCCTATTTTTCAGTGTTTTTCAGTGGCACTTTCAGAATAAACTTTATAAAGAACACTTATAAATCCTTTAAAGGCCTTAATTATGTAGCCCTTACTCAGGCAACATTCTCATTAGCTTTCTGCTTGATTGGGCTCTATGGACCAAATATAGTTCTCATTTACACAGGCTATGTCTACACTGGGAAATTATTTCAAAGTAAATTATTTCATAATAATAGTAATAACACTGCCCAGCTGTGGGAGGCAGGGCCGCCCTTAGGCTTACACAGAATATGCAGCTGCGTAGGGCACCGCTAAAGTTGGGGCACTGGCTGTGTGCTGCAAATGCTTAGGGGCCAACGCTGCTGGGACGGGACAGCGAGGCACCGGCAGCACTGACAGCACCAGCTCGGGGAGCCCAGCAGCCCAGCTGCTGCTCACCCATCCCGCTTTGCTGGGGCTGGGAGCAGGACCATGTCTCCTGGAGCGGGGGGGAGCTGGGGACAGACATGCGGTTGATGGCAGAGCCCTGGGCAGCAACTGGGACACTGGGCATGGGGCCAGCAGCAGAGCCCCAGGCATAAGGCCAGTAGCCAGGACCCTGGAGGTGGGATCAGAAGCAGCCCTGCAGCACCCCACCTCCCACCCAGTTCCTGCATGTATGACTCCCTGCCCTGCTCCTGACCCCACAGCTCTGAGCCTTCCTACCCCATGCAGTGCCCCTTCCCCCCATGTAAAGCACTGTAAATCTCAAGGACAGCCCAGGTGATAGGATCTAGGGTGGCTTAGATGGGCACTGTGTGCTGGCACTCCACGGTGCCCATCTGTACCCACAAGCCCCTGATACACCACAAGCAGTGTTCCCTGAAAGCTGAGCGCTTGGGGAGCTGCCCAGGAAAGATTCAGGTGCCCACCCAGCTGATTGGTAGAGTGCCCACAGCCGGCAGCCTGTGTTTCTACTGATGGTGCACTTGCCTAGGTGCATATAACAAAGTGTATTCCACACATGGATGGAAAAAATTAGAGGGAACACTGATCACACGCGTCTGTTTACTTTCCCTGGATGACCCTGGAAATTCCAGGTGCAGGCTGATCAGGAATATATGAAGGGTCTGAATTACAAGAGGATACTCAACCCAGAAGATGCGATTGCCCTCTGTGACTATGTCTACACTGGGAAATTATTTTGAAATAACTCCCGAAATAACTATTTCAAAATAAGCGTATTCCTCTTTACAAGCAGGAGTTATTATTTCAAAATAACGGGCTTGGCAGTGTGGTCACTTGCCTTGTTCTTTCGGAAACACCAGGGAAGGAGAAAAGCTATTAAAGCGACAGGACACAAGTGGAATAAGAACAAATGGGGGTAAACTGGACCGGAATGAATGTAGACTGTGAGTTAGAAGCAGGTTTCTAACCACTGGAGGAAGAAGGTTCTGGACCAGCCTGTTTGGGGGTGCAAACTGCCTAGTTAGCCCTTTGCTGGAGCCTGGGAAGTTTCTGAATGGGTTGTTATGATGTGGCTGCCTTTGCTAGCAGGAGCAGGGCTCCTTCCAGGCCCAAGTTCCCTCCCACTCCAGGCTGAACCTCTCTAATCCTGAACTCTCTGGTTCGGAAACATCCCTAGTCCAGAATGATTTTAGTGAGCTGGAGGTCCACTTTTCATGGGTGTGGCCAAGTGTCCTGTGGTCCTATAAAGTTTGTTTACAGTTACCAGACCTGGCTCTCAGTGTTCTGTACTGTTATTTAGCTCCAATTTACTCCTAAACAAGGGCGCCATTTCGGGAGGGTAGGGGGGCAGCAGCCGTGTGCTCTGGGACGCAACTAGCTTTTCATCCCGTTGCCCGGACGCGGGCAACCCAGGTGACCAGCCAGGTGTGAGAGGAATGCGCAGAATGCAAGTACTTTCCCCTCACTCCCTGATAGGCCGGGGAAAGGGATGAAAAGCAATCCCTGTACAGGAGCACACGGCTGCTGCCCCCTCTCTCCTCCCCTCCCCAAAATGGTGCCCTTGCTCCTAAATGTTCTCTACCAGCCCAGTAAGCAGTGAAAGTGGGGGTAATGCTGCAAGACAATATGGACCTCTCGTGGCCTGTTCAATTCTCTAGTTCAGAATCAGTCAGGGCTTGAGGGTGCTGGACTAGAGAGAGTCAACCTGTAGCAAGCCCAAGCCATTAATGGAGAATGTGTACTTGCACGGTGCCAGTAACCCCACGGATATGGTGCTCTTTCAAGTCCAGAACTGTGAATTACAACCCCGCACTGGGACTCTAATTGTTCCATGCGCTTCAAAGGGAAGCAGCCAAGTGATCTCCGAAGCCACTATTTTCAAAAGCAGCCACCACTGCTACAGGGTGTCACTTTGGGAGCAGCCAGCGTGAGAGGAGAGAGAGGTGGATTTCAGAGGCACTGAGTAACCACAACACCATGTGAAGCAGGGGGCTTGCAGCCCCTCTGCAAACCAGAGCCTCCGTGTCTCAAGCTAGGGACACCCCAAACTGTAGAAGCGGCCATGTTTGGCAGTTGGAGCCTAACTCTCTACAAGTAGCGCTT